GGAAGGCAACTGCACGCCTACAGTTAAAAGGCAGGGGACTGCCTAACTTGATTTTCCCCAGACATGTCAATCGACTGTATCTTAAAGAGGAGTGCTTTCGGACAAAGGCGGAATTCATTGCCCTCCCACCGTCACATATCGCTGTCTGGTTGGTGAGTGTTGATCCGCCGTCGAAATATGCGACGTAAAAAATATTTACTCCACTGCCTCTGTCAGGTCTGGGATTTTAGTGGTTTTGCCACCTTTGGCTAGCTACATACCGGGCCATTATTAGTTGAGTGATTGGTGACTTTAACTATCATTCTCTGAAAGTGTAGCGTTGTGGCTTTTGCAATCGGTCTACTAACGTATCTCTGCTGCCACATAGCAAGGTCGCCACGTCTACGGACGTCTCAATTCGGCCATGTGTCAATTTCCAGCAGTCCCAACTCATTCCCGCGTTTTGCTGAATGTGCGTCAACGTCTGACGCAAAGTAACCGTCGGGGAGCGTTTAGGAAAGAAGGTAGCTGTTTAGCTAAATGACTGAATTAGCCAAGATACCACGATGCGCAAACCCGAAATTTGGTCACTGATAGACTGGGCCTCCATGACTGTATGTTTGGATGCTCTTTTTGTCAAACATTATGGCGTTAGCACTGGTTTATATTTTTTCTGAAAAACATTTTCTGCACATCCCCACCCCCCCTCTTCGCAGGCCAAAACGTCTCCACGTGTGAAGACAATGAGCCTGAAACCCCTGGAGGATATGGTCACCTGTCCAATCGACTTCAACTTCCTTGAGGACCCACGACTGCTGCCTTGCGGACACGTCTTCTGCTGCCAGTGCCTCAATGGTTACCTTAAGCAGCTTCTTGCACGGAAGAATTCTACAGTGAACCGGCAAGGCGACCGTCCGTCGGCACCCTTCCTACCCTGTCCCATTTGTCGCATGCAATGTCCCATTCCTGAGAACGGTCGTGCCGAGTCCTTCCCGAAGGCCTTCAATCACACCCTTCTTCTCGAGTACATACGGGGTCAGAGTATGTTTGAGTATGCCGCCATGCAACCAAGTGAGACCGGTCAGGGTGTTGGCGGGGGTTCCTCACGCAACAGCACAGTAACTAATCCCTCACCAATCGGTCCACGCAAAGGCTCGATTCACGTGAAATCGGACATGTTGAACAGCCTGGTTGGCGATATCGCGGCTATTCAGCGCAGCGGCAGTCACAGCTTCCTTGACCGTGCTCTAATTCTGGAGGAGGTGCGCAAAATTATCCAGAAGATGCCCTCTTCTAACACCTCCCCAGAACCGACAGAGGGTGCATCTGTAGTTGAGCCTTCAGCGCCTCCCCTTCCCCCTGAAGTTAATGGCGACAGGTCCCCGCCCCCACCAGTACCTATCGTCGCTCCAAACTGTTTCAAAAACGGTGGCCGTTTCCATAATGCTGCTTCCCACGTTCTAGAAAGCCGGACTCCACCGCAGTCAGCTGGGGGAAAAGACATAGAGAACGGCTTCTCCGCCTACCAGTCTGCAAGTTCGGGGCCGAACAGTTATGCTGTCTATCGCGATCAGGAGGAGGCCCACCAGATGATGCGTCGATACGCAAAGTATCGCTGTTTAAAGCGAAATCAGGGTTGTTGTCCACTGCTCATGGGTACATCGCATATTTCCGATATGCATCTGCTGCCGCTGCACAGCGGTAACGGCATCATGCGTTACACCATCGGGTGTGATGGATCAGACAACGTGCTGCACTTGTGGCGTAAAAAGATTGCCATGCGACCTGAACTCGAAATCTTCACACTGGGTGGTTCATCATCGACTGCCTCGGCAAGTGGGAAATCGTCTCCGCAAATGTCCACCGAGTCAGGTGTCTATCAGAAGTTAACCGTCGACCTGGCCGGGATGGGTCGTCTGAAGGTGATGTACCTGCGGTTCCACAAGAATCGGGTCTACCTGACCGGAGTGGTACAGCAAGAGCCGGCGAATGAGGGTTCCAGTGAAAACATCGCTCGCACAGCTCCAGTGGACCCCGGTGTGGTTGTTTGTTGTGCCATCCCTGAGCCAGACGAGAAACTTATCAGGCAGACAGACCCGCCGGATGAAAAGTTTCCCATTGTCGCCCTGTCTTGTCCGTTTCTGAGGGATGAGGTTGGCTTGAATCACCCCGAACGACCGACGATCGCTGGGCTTGATGTGGACCGTGTCACTGGTGACGTCTATGTTGCTCTCTGCGCCAACGCCATGGTCTGTCGACTGAGCGGCAATGACATAACCACAGTAGAGCGGGAATGGTTCATCAACGATCCTCAGCTTTCCCCCTCCTACCTCTGTCTAGCAAAGGCCGAGAACGAAGTGTGGGCCAGCTGTCCCCTCGATGATAAGGTCTTCATCCTTGATCTTGCCACAAACACCTTTCATCATTTCACGCCGAGTACTTCCTTTGGCATCATTCCCTCGCACATCGTCTACACCTCCGATGAGAAGATCTTCCTTCTGGACACAAAACTGTCTCGTATCTACTGGTTTAAAAAAGTGCACCAGACAATGTGCATCCAGCGCATTGATCATAGTCTTAAGGAGCGCAAGAGGCGTGGTATTGAAATCATCCAGCCAATGGACGATGCCAGTGTCGGTTCTCTGATGACATCTTTTCGGGGTAACCCTTTCCGCGGAGGCATAATGTGTGCGGACAAGAGCGGATCCTATCTGATTTACCCAAAATCTGTTTTCTCCAGACGAACCCTGTCCGGCTGCTGCAGTTGGCCTTCGTAACTTCCTTTTCATAACACCCACATATACTCCCCTCAGAGAGAACTGCACTCCATTACTATCTGTTTGCGTCTTCTATCGACACGCCAGCGCCCCGTGTGCAGTAGTCATCGTCGTTACAATCATCGATTCGTCTTTCCCGTGGTCAGAAGTCCGGAGGTTTTCCGCACTTCAGACGCCTGCGTGCTGCCTCTCAGTGAATGTGCTAGTGCTCTTGTCTCTCGAGCTCAAACAGTCTCACTTTTAATGCTTTACGTACGGGCTTGCGCCTTCACTTGAGTTGACCTCTCCTTTCACACACCCCACAAACTCGCCCCTTCCGCTTTACGCTTATCCTTCAGTCTTTATGGACGCGGACTCAGATATTTACTATAGTCCTCTTTCTGAAATGAGAAGGGAAAAGAGTAAACAAAAGGAATCAACTATGTAAAATTTCCCCTCCTTGGGCTTGTACCTCCTGTCTTCTCACGTTTTTCTTTCATTATACAAAAGTACTGCTGATCGTATCATTTTGTAGCAAATATAAACTCGACTGATATCTCTCCCGTCCCCAACAAATTACAAGTCCTGGTTCGTAAATGACCAAAGGGAAATTCCAATCGTTAAAAGAAAGCGGGGGTGGGGAGGAGTCGTTTGTAGGCACTTGTACAAGAGTGCCTATGTCGTGATGGCGCTTGCAGAGTCCTGGAGCGTTCCACATTCGGGAATGCGCGTAGCGATGGCCGTAAAAACTGTAAAAGCGCAGCGGTAGCCGGATTAAATTTATGCCAGTATGGAGTTGCAATTGTTTTCGTAAGCGTGCCACGGACGAAATCCTTTTTGAAAAGTCAAGTTGGCGAACACGTGTTTTCAGTAACTCTTCATCAGGCTTCGGGCATCCCACGGTCAACAGTAATTTAGGTAGCTCACGAGCTTCGTTGTTCATCAGTTATTACAGGCGAGACTGCTGTAAAACAGAGCGGTTTCGGAAATTAGTGTACAATCGTCAAGTTAGCGATGTATGACTGAGGACTGGGCCGACAAGAGCTTACAATCAATGCTTTTGAGTGATACAAGGTACGGTGTGCTTCTCGAATTTTCAACGTGTGGCTGAGTCCTCACCTCACCGTTCGTACCCTGCAAATATTCAAACTGAAATAACATTCCTACTAGTAACCTTGAAGTAGACGCTTTCGATATTTATGTTTCAGGATTGAGGCGCAATGCAACGGTACGTACCGCACGTGGTGACTAGTGAATTTAGGCAGATGGTGTCTCTTAGTGTAGCTACCTTGAAGAATCTCTGTGGATTTCGTAACTCTAGGCATTGGTTCTGTGGGGATATTAAAATCAATAATTGTGGGTAACATGCAAAAAACGGTCAGATAGATGGGAGTGGGCGCCAAAACATAAAAACATTTTATCGAGCGAAGCAGACGTCGGGTGCACAGACGACGGCCAAAAGAGCAGTAACCTGAAGTATGGAGGGCCATTCCCTACGTTAAACGGGCCTCTGAGGCGGTCTCGATTGTTACAACCGGCCAGAGTAGGCATAGCCCACCGACTACAGGCAACAATTCGACGCCGTCTGATGCAATCCAAGGGCCCCTTGCCACCCGCCGAAACCTCTGCAGTTATCTACAAAATAAATTGCAAAGAGGGCGACTGCAACTATGTGGGAGAAACCGGGCGGAAATTGCAGACTCGCCTACAAGAGCACAAATCAGCTACTCGGAGGTTGGACCCAAATTCTCAATTAGCAACACACGTTGGAGAAACTGGGCATACTTTCGATCTCCAGCGAGCTACCATCTTAGGCCGGGGCAACACAAAGGCAGAACGGCTAACTCTTGAGGCGTGGTTCTCCGATGCCCACTCCATAAACAGGCATCTGGACCTTCCTGCAGCCTACAAAGTCCTACGTCATCACAATCGTAGAGCTCAGGACCAAACAACCACACCGGGCTTAAGGAGGCCATACGGAGACAGCCCGACGGCGAGTTTACTCGGTGAAGAAGAAGAACCGCCAGACCGCCCACCCGACACTGGTTCAGTCACCTCCCCCCCGGCGGAATGGTGACTCACAATGCACGCAGACAAAATACCAGTCAACCATCCCTTGATAGGCCGCGGCAGCGAGGAGAGAGAAAAAAATCGACCAGCAGGAGGCCGTCCAAAGTGACACGCCACTTGGGATCTATGGTGGATTGAGTGCATTTTACGCTTTGACAATGGAGAGCCGACCAAGCTCTTCGAAGCGTCAGCATCCTAATAAACCTGTTCCGGTGAGCCCACCTTCTTCTTCTTCTCCTCCCCCTCCTCCTCCTCCTCCTCCTCCTTCTTCTTCTTCTTCTTCTTCTTCTTCTTCTCCTCCTTCTTATTCTTCTCCTTCTCCTTCTTCTCATTCTCCTTCTTCTTCTTCTCCTCCTCCTCCTCCTCCTCCTCCTCCTCCTCCTTCTCCTTCTTCTTCTTCTTCTTCTTCTTCTTCTTCTTCTTCTTCTTCTTCTTCTTCTTCTTCTTCTTCTTCTTCTTCTTCTTCTTCTTCTTCTTCTTCTTCTTCTTCTTCTTCTTCTTCAAATAATCAACCTGGATCTCTCAACTTTGCCAATCTGAATAAAAACATGCTTGTCAGACAAGAAATGGGCTCGATTACGAAGAGGTGGCTTGAATAATCTGATGTTTAAAATTACCGAAAACCGAAGTCTGCACCCACATTCATTAGAAATTAGCATTCTTTGCTGGTATGGGTGATGCATGGAAGATGCCTCACAGTTTTCAAACAAGCAGTAAGGTAGAAATTCGCATGATGTCAGGGCATTTGTACTACGTCAGAGCTTTACGAATTGTGTGCGTATGCCATGCAGCGCTTCAGCAGACCATGGCCCTCGCAGTCTGGTGTGCGCTGACAGTTCTCTGACACCTGATTCCCTGCCGGCAGATGCACTCCCGCTGTACATACAGGCCGTGTGCATGGTTGCCCAGTGACTTGTGTCATCGTTCTCTTTCTAACCGTGGCTTGGAAGGCTACCAACTGACGAATAACTTGGACATTGCAATCGGCCCAGAATATTTGTCTATGTGGAGTGGAGGACCGGTGATCTGAGCGTCAGGCTGCAATGGCTCCCTCATAACGTAGCCTCGATGGCACTCCCACACCGTGGGACCCGAGCCGGGTAAGGCGGCACGCCTAGGGCTGGCTTCGGCAACGTCATCTGTCGCTCTTGTTTTTGTTGGATTCTAAATCCCCGTCAGTGTGTATTGTGGGCCAGGCTTGTTGCTGCAGGCTCTCGCCGCGTCAATTCGGGTTGCATACGGTCTCTCATTTTTTTCTTGATGTATAAAATCCTGGTTAATATGTACTGTGGGTCGCGGGCATGGTGGTACGCCTAGGCGCGGGTTCATTCGCCGTGCCATCTACCTGCACCCTCTCTCACCTCCGGCCTTCTTGACCATGTCTTGGGCGCCGGGCCCAGGTGGGGAAGGAGAGAGTGCGGTAGGTGCTGCGCAAGTCGACTTTCGCTATAAGCTCCTTCACTGTGCCCACTCTCAGTCTGCTGTAAAGCACACGGTGGACATCATTGGTCACGACGGTCGAAGTGTCATTAAGTCAGGGCGTATAACTTCTTGATTAAAATTGGCATATAAAATGTCCCCCAAAAATCCTCTAGCGAGGCGCATTGCACCCGACGGCCTTCCATGAAAATGTACTATCGAATGACAACGAGACAATGCCATGGACTTCACTCGCTATTTCATCACAATATGAAGTTGCGGAATTTGGAGAGGCCTGTAATAACATCTGTTTATATCCACTGACACAGGAGAAACGATGCAAACAGCAAAAGGGCGTTTTGCTGAAGGGCTTTTTCGGCCTCAACATAAGACCACCCGAAGGATACGGGAGTCGGACTCTCACCCTGCTCCAGGGGTCATACGCTAAGTTCTGGAGAGGTGAGAACTAATGTAAGGGTTGAGATCAGGGTAATGGTCAATTTTAGGGTCAAGGTCAATGTTACGATTAGGACATGGCACTACTTGACCGTCGCGGAATTTCAAGCAAGGTCACCTGTATTGCCGGATTGGAGGGAAGGGGTTCCTATTCGCGTATTTTACATAATTACTTAGCGCGGACTTGCCAACGATACAATTGCTTTGCCGATTGTCTGTGCTTGCGTTTTTGAACTGAGGTTTTAGGGTGATCCACGAGACCTCTGCTTGGACTAAGGTTATGGGTGCGCTTTAACATGCATAGTCTGGATCAAGTCGCATTTAACCGAAGACAGGGAAGATAACAATAGGAGGCCATCACCGACTTTTTTAAGGCTGCATAGCAGGCTTGCAGTGCCAATGAGTGTCCGGAAAGGCTAATGCGTTTGCTAGACAGTTATCTGGGACGGTAGTCCGGTGGATCGATAATGGACGTAGACTGGCTTGGCTAGGTTGAACAGGTCCGTGTAGCAATCCTGGCGCCCGTGTGGGTCAGAAGCGAAAACGTGGAATACCTAATTCAGAGAAACAGGCCGAAGCAGGCGGGAGGGATTCATTAAAGAAACTACAGCCCTTAGCATTCCACGCATGGTACACCGCTGCACTTTTTCCACAAAATGTGCGTCCACGGTTTCCTGCGGATTACTCAACAAGGCTGCGACGAAAATGTCGGGGTTCAACGTTTTATATGCAGTTAGGGCACGTATGTAACCCTTGAAATTAGGAGTCAACATGAGAGGGAAGGTCACCGTGTTCAAACTTTGCAAGCCCAACATTCTGTGACGGAATTTCCGGAATGGAGATATTGTCATCCTAATTCCGCACATGGGAGCCCACATGTGAGGTTCTGCATGCATCCGCCTCTATGCGTCGGAACTGCGGATGTTTCGTGGGATCCAGACCTTTTCCATTCTTCCAAATTTGAAGTCAGTAATCTTGTCCGACGTAATTCGCCTAGACTGGATCATTAGGTAAACAATAAAATTGAAGCATGCTAACCTCGGTGTATTAACTACTCACTGTTCAACTGAAAACTGAGTCGTCGGACTACAGTACAGATACTACACAAAAGCTTGGGTGTGCTCCGATTGACCACGGATAATTGAAGTGACTGCGAATCGTCCCGCTTAGCAATCCTCCATATGGTTTATGTTATGTAACACGGCTTAAAATAAGAGAACTCAGCCTGAATACTTACACGAAGACCGGGATGAAATCGGAAAAATTCGGCCCCGATACTAGACCGATTTAGCTTATAGCTTTTTGTCGAAACCACTGGAAGTAAGTTTGGGTTTTTTGTAGGCAGATTTGCAGGGCCTGGGCGGGGGATCTGACTTCCAGAAGTCTTTCTTTCACAACGTGAAGCAGTCAGCCATGCTGACAAATGCGTTGAGCTGAGGCGCCTGGAAATGCACTAGCGAATCGGGCAACAGCCAAGTGCCAGGCGCACCTTGTAGCACGAGCAGCAGCGAAAAGACTCCAGTGTCCGAAGAGGAGTCGCCAAACTCGTTACCCAGAAAAATCGGGCGAAACATGCGTCTGAACTTTGCGAACTTGCCTGACCGAGGGCAGTCAAGACGTGAGGATGAGTATTTTGACAGCCAACAAGGACGGAGCTGATAAAGCGAAACGGGCGTCCCCGTCGCACGCCTTGCCGTCGTTGGCGACTCACGCATCAGCCGCCCCTGAAATGATAGCCGTGAACAGTATCTGAAAGTGGATACCCGAATCTGCTGCTTAGAGCGTCAGGCCGCAAATAAACCCCCTGGGTGAGCCCCTCTCGCCCGGGAATCACATTTTCACATTGAATTTGTTGAGAGCTGTTTCGGCTGCATATCCAACACCAAGGAAAACGAGATTCTTATAACGAATTTGGTAATATCTCGATGCTCCGGAGATATCTGGATTGACTACCAGCCTAGCGAAAAATCAAGTCAATTTAGAATTCCGTTCACTGCTCGTGCAGATGTCACCTTGGCAGTGGAAAGCTATTCGAGTAGCTAGCATAGGAGTAATTCCGTCCGGGTCTATTTTTGTTGGTACGACTTTTCATCAAGAGCTGGTTGCCGTCCGCGAAGCCAGCAGTTCGAGGCGCGTTACCATTACTGAATTTCTTTCATCTTTGACAACAGAAAATAAACCCATAAGGCTAAGAGGGAAGCTTTAGAATTTGACTCTTGTCTAAGCAGTCGGCCCGGGCCCAAGTTTTACCAATCCGAGAAGGGCGTAGCCGGCCGCCACAGAAATGGATTTGTCAATCTGCTTATCTTGCAGTTTTTTTCCATGTATTCCACCAACAGACGGGATCCTCCGGGCCCAGATGGTCCTGTGTGTCGATCCACAACTATGATGTCGAGGGCAAAAGGGGAGAGGGGGGGGCGAACTAACGAACATAAGCCTGAGGCAGTCGTATTCTCGTCTTTTGCAACTTTTGTCATGCCAACTGGCATCCCGCGCGTTAACCAGATAGCGACGAATAGGGAGCTGGAAGGAGGGCCGTAGATTGACATTACAAGTACTGACGACGTAAACCCTGAATGTCACCCACCCACTGTTTCTCCGATTGACCGTCCTTATCGCATGCGCCGAGGACCACCGCTGCCCTTAGGGAAAATGAGTGAAATCAGCTTCCTTCTTCTCTTTCCACACCCATCACGCTTCGGAGGCGATAAAAGCACTTTGCCACGGTACATCTTTGGACAAGGAGTCTGTCCACAGGGAGGTGGGCACGGAAAATATTTTCGTCAGCGATTCGGTACGCTGCGAAGAGTTGGGTTTTGCGTAGTCCGCTGGCTCCTGACAGCCAATGCTGGCCTGGAATCAAGAGGCATTCAACGAAACCGGGAAGACAGTGGAGCTGCCATCGGCGGGAGACACTTGCGCCTTTCTGTGGTCACTTGTCCAGGTCACTGCAACCTTCAGGTAAAACCATGTCCTAGCGTTGCGTCATCCACGTTGTAGGAACCAACTTGGAGCCCAACCCAATAGAACACGCGTTTGACAAAAGTGCCGCAGTTGTGGCTACGTGAGTTTGGTACTTTTATGGCCTGCATCGTAAGAAGTGCCAACTACATTTTGCGTCTGTCGACGGTGTGGTTCATTTAAACAGACCGGACAGATCCGTGTCACTAACGCACTTTGAGCACGCACACTCGGCCCACCGATAGTAACGAAGAGACAGAATTAAGGTTGCCACATTTCAAGTAATCATTCTCAGTGTTCAGAGCCTCGTTGGGTTTCGAAGCGCAGAGAAAACCCAAGTAAGTTTATTTCAGGGTAGAGTAACATGAAGCTGTGGTGCAGACCCGACTAACATCCCTTTCTGATGCCGTTTGATGATGAAGACTAAAATGAGCAAGATTACGCAGCCCGTTAGATGTATTAGAGGTCTCAGTAAGTTTAAGGTGGGGTGCAGCAATTAAACACGCAAAACAAGTAGATTTACTAGGGGATAACTGCAAGCATGAAACTTGATACGACCCACTAGCGACACGCATTGGAAGTGTCGAAAACCCAGAAATCTGATACACGCCATATAGTTTGCAAATTAATCAAAGTCCACATTCAAGTATAACGCGACAAGCAATTAGCCCATCTTCCCATTATTGGGCACAAAACATGCGAAACAATTCCTTGTGGCGATCGTTAGAAGCCGAACAAATTCATCTAAATGCCGATTATTTTGGCCGATTGCAGTGAGATGGTAGGAGGATGGAGAGACGAAATGCCTATTCAGAACCACAATCGGTGAAAAAGACAGCGTACAAGACTTTCGCATAAGGCAAGGAAAACTACAATACATTTAGTATCTACAAAAAGTCTTCTAGCGTAAAACAGGGAACGAGAGTCCGTGAAAGCAAAACAAGGCGTTCTGCAAAGCAACCAAGTAATGGGTGCGGGTTTCTATATTAGGCTCAAATAATGACAAGAAACGCTAAAAATAACCGACGTTACAATCAACGATAAAGGTAGTCAGCCTTAATGTTCTCGGCGATCTCCACCTCCCATCGGTCGCCATTTTCGAGGAGCTTCTCCTTATTGTAAAGAAGTTCTTCGTGGGTTTCCGTTGAGTATTCAAAGTTCGGGCCCTGGGGAAGAAAACGACGAACTTTAGGCCCTGAACTTACAGTGCACAAGGGACGGCACGAAGGTCATGAAAGACTGCGGTCCGATGATTTGAGTATGTTTTTTAGATAATCAGGAAGGCGAGTAGTGGAAGCCCAAAGGAAGTGCAAAAGCAATAAAAACCGAAATAAGGCACGAACTCTCAGAAGTTCGCGATTGCCCATAGGAAAAAAACGACTGCCCAATAGATTATCAAAGTTTTTGTAAATCTAACACAGGAAGGCAAGTTCTGATCTTCAAAGACAAATGGATACGCATGTCGTCTTGCTGATGTTGTTCTTCGCCAAAACTGACATATAGGAGCAGGGAGAGGTGAAAGGCTGAGTAACAAAAACAGACTCCTTAGGATACGCGTGAAAGGACGCAACTCCTGAATGAAAAGAGACTCAACTAACTGGTGGATAGAGCGTTTTAGCAGGGAATAATCCTTCCGACTGCAGTTAGCTAAGGTAGAACACCCGCCCGTAGACTATGCGAGTCCATTTAGAATCCATTAGGGATATGGTGTTCATTACCCTCAAAACTACCTAAAGTTGTTGGCGAGCAGTGGAGAAACAAAGACTGGCACTTCCACTTCATCATAGGCTGTATTCCATTCCGGCTATGGTATGACTACGAGCGATCAATAGTCGGGAGTGTCATGCACAACGATACGCGGGTCGGACGGATAACTCCTCGCTTATTCGGTTCGCAAAACTACTGATCTGCGCTCAACCTATCCCAATCTTCTATAGTCGCGGTTTTGATATAGCAGACCAACAATAACGGGTCGCTGAACCCAACCAGCATAATATAAAACTACTTTTGAACTTTAATTTCACTGAAGGTCGCTCGTTATCAATCAGGTACTGTGGTCGACGCATCTGTGTCAGTTTCTTAGTCATAAGGAATCTTCCAGGAATCCTATGGGTTGCGCCACCTACTGTAGGGTAGGTCGATAATTCGCCAGCATTGTTGTAACAAGATGAAAAATGCTACTAAGGGATATTCAAGGATAACGTTGAGTGAGTAGAAGAAACCTGCTATGCGTGGTTCTGTAGTTTACTCTGATCCCCATAACCAGATAGCACCATTCTTATCTTTGATATCCGGTCCAGCTGTTCGTGTTGGAACAGGGGATAGTCTAAGTATCTCAGCACCAGATAATTAACAGGCTAGGAGAGCGGACTGGTGCATGCGAGTGGGAAGAGAGAGAGAGAGAGAGAGAGAGAGAGAGAGTGAGGTCGACACTTCAGCATCCTTGCCCATGACACATCAATGCATTCCTCACCATAAGAAAGCTGATGCGCTTAAACCTATCGCGGAGCGCTGAGTCGCGGCCTGAAAGGCTCCCAGATGAAGGGATAACTCGGTCATTCTCAGAAATGAGAACAAAGTTGTGTTGGTTCCTTTATAACATGACACTCTTACGCATATGGGCCGCTCTCACGAAAGCCTGGTACATGCTGTGGGGACCACGTCGTCGCGTCGCCACACGTGTAGACGAGCGGTCTTGGCTCTGTCAGCCACTGTAATCACGCCCATCTCTGGTTGCCCTATACAGTGCGGTAGATACTGCGAATTTCTGCTTCACCACAAACTAGTTCACGTGCAAGTCACCGTCCTGCGCCAACTTCGTGGGACACACGACGGACGTCGCCGTTCGCGACGCTTAAGCCGTAGTAGCATTTTGAGTCATCAGGTGCTGTTAAACTGGAAGGTAGTAAAAAGACCTAGAAGGCACCCTCACTTCACAGCCAGGCCCAGTCGCCTAATCGGTTAGGAACTTCGAAGCTCAGTATTTGTAAGCAAAGGTAGCGCTTTCCACTTGCACTGGGCTAAATTTACAGTGAAGAGGACTTGCGCTGTAGCCACGTTCCCCATACAGTTACAGTCACCAGGTAAAGTTGAGATGGCCAAAGATGAGTGCGTGAGCTGTGGTTGACTTGAGGTAACGACCCTGTATGCGGATGTCACACGTTTGCAGGCCCTAATTTCAAACTAATTCAAATCTAGTATTAGCGTGAGTTATTACAAATGCTATACCATGGAACCATTGCAACCTGACAGGCTTAAAAGTGACTATTTCTAGCACGTCGTGATTGTGTGGAGGCGTTTCCGAGTCATGAGGGAAATACGGAGGGTCGGCTCCAATCTAGCTTACCCTGCCCATAATGCATTTATGGCAATGCATATTTAATCCGACTGGAAGTGAGATTGTGTGCGGTGGTTGAGGGGAACCCAGTTTAAGGCGCATCACATATTTTCTTGCCCTTGTTACGGCCTGACGCAGCAATGCAGTCCATTTTGAAGACTCAGACTATATCCGCTCTTATTTCCTGCTCATGCTGCGTGCGGTTTGTTGTTGAGCCACGTCTGTCATCGACCTGTCCGACTTTCGGAGCTCCGTATCAATGCACCTGCGCTCGAT